AGCCGCTCCTGATCCCGGGATTACGGTGAGCGCCGGGCCAGGCCGTCACTCGGCACCTGCTCTCGGGAGGAATTTCTGAACCCGCTCCCCTGCGCATCCATCCGCCAGGGTCAGCGTGCGGGGTGTTAACCCTTTCGAGGAGGGACTGCGCGTTGCCCAGGCCGCCGGGTGCCAGGCCCAGTCGCCGGGAGCAGGGCGTGTGCTCCGCGCAGACGTGCGTTTGCGACCGAGAGGACAGCCCGTCACCCCTCACTTCTCTCTCCCTCTGAGGTCCAGGCGTCCCTCGTGGGCAGAGGTGGACGGAGGTGGCCGCTGTCCAGAGGCAGGATGTGCTCTGGTCAGACCTGGCCCCAAGTCCTCACACCCGCCACACCCACCCTGCCCCCACCCGCACGCCCTCGGCGGACAGGCCTGTCCCCACCCTGTACACCCTCAGCGGGCAGGCCGGCCTGTCTACACTCCTGCTCGGCCCCATAAACATGCACCCCTGCGCTCAGACACCCCGTGCCCTCGCACCCCTGCGCTCAGACACCCCGTGCCCTCGCACCCCTGCGCTCAGACACCCCGTGCCCTCGCACCCCTGCGCTCAGACACCCCGTGCCCTCGCACCCCTGCGCTCAGACACCCCGTGCCCTCGCACCCCTGCGCTCAGACACCCCGTGCCTTCGCACCCCTGCGCTCAGACACCCCGAACCCTCGCACCCCTGCGCTCAGACACCCCGAACCCTCACGCCCCTGCGCTCAGACACACTGTACCCTCGCACCCCTGCGCTCAGACACCCCGTGCCCTCGCACCCCTGCGCTCAGACATACTGTACCCTCGCACCCCTGCGCTCAGACACCCCGAACCCTCGCACCCCTGCACTCAGACACCCCGTACCCTCACGCCCCTGCGCTCAGACACACTGTACCCTCGCACCCCTGCGCTCAGACACCCCGTGCCCTCGCACCCCTGCGCTCAGACACCCCGTATCCTCGCACCCCTGCGCTCAGACATACTGTACCCTTGCACCCCTGCGCTCAGACACCCCGAACCCTCGCACCCCTGCACCCAAGACATCCCTATACCCTGTACTCTCCACACAGACACCCTGTACCCTGCACCTCTGTACTCAGATATCCCCGCACCCTTTCCCCCTGCACTCAGACACCCTGTACCCTCGCACCCCTGCACTCACATACCCCGTACCCTCGCACCCCTGCACTCAGACACCCCGTATCTCTGCACCTCTGTACTCAGATATCCCTGCACCCTGCACCCCTGCACTCAGACATCTCATACCCCTGCATCCCTGCACTCAAGACCCCCCCACACCCTGCTCCTCTGCATTCAGACCCCACGGACCCCACACACACTCCTGTGGAATGCACATGCCGGCAGCCAGGATGATTAAAACACCTGCAGCCACGGCGGGTCCTGCCCAGCCCGTGCAGTCCCCGGGAGGCGAGGCCCCCCCCCAGGCCAAGAGATCCCAACCCTGCTGGCAGGGGGGAGAGCCCGCAGCAGCCCCCGCCCCCTCGCCCAAGCCACAGCCTGAGTGAGCGAATCCAAGGGGCACGGGCCGGGCCAGCCTGGGGACTCTCAGGGGGCCACGCCGGAGCACTGCAGACAAACCGCCTGGGCCTGGGGACTCAGCCTGCAAACCCGCCAGGAACAGCGGGCTGCCCACGGAGACGCGCCAGGAGCCAGAGAGGCGAGTGGAGGGACTGAGCATGGGGGAGGGCCATGGGCCCAGCCCAGCACCACACGCTCCCGAGCACAGAGCTGGGAGTACCCCTGAGCACCGCCAGGTGTGGCCCTCAAACAGAAGCAACCAGCAAAGGACTAACTTCACTCTCGCCCCTCTTTGGCTGGCACAGGCCCGGCTGAGAGAAGCAGGCAGTGTAGACGCCGCCGCCGGTGTAGACAGAGGGAAGGCAGCGGCTGCCCCAGGCCTGGGAGGGGACGGTCAGGACCAGGGGCTCCTGGGAAGCCCTGGCAGGTGACTCGCCTCCTCCGGCCTCTGTTGTCTCACCTACCACCCATTCTGCAGGAGACGGGGAAGATTCTAGAAGGATCTAGCAGCGCCAGCACCACAGGGAACATCTCAAGCCCCCACAGCTTACCGGTCCAGACCTCGGTCTCTGACGGTGCGGCCGTAAGGGGCAGCACCAAGGCACCGTTTCTGCTCCCCATTGGCCCCCGAACCTGGTGTGCTCCCACTCGGGGCCACCTCCTCCGAGAAGCCTCTCCTGACTGCTCCCCAGCCAGCACACGGCCCCTCCTCCACTCCTGCCTGAGTGACAGCAAGAAAGGGCCAGGCTGGGTCCCTGCTCCCCCGCTGGGCACCAGGAATGTCTGGGGGTGCCACGCCCCAGGGCTGGCCCTACATCAGCCTCGGGGAAGGCTCAGTGGAGGAGCTGGGACAGGGCCAGGAGACCAGCCTGGCCCGGGTCCCAGTCCCTGGCACAGGAGGCTGCCGAGATCCCGGACCCGCAAACATAGTCTGGGAGAGAGGCCGGCCCAAGGGCGCCCCTGATCTGTCTGGCCGAGCCGTGAGGGTCAAACTGCCCAGACCCCAGAGCTCCGTCCTTGAGCCTTCAGTCAGCCAGAGCCAAGTCGGGGACCGCCTCCTCCTTGCAGCCCGCTGGGCTTGGCCCAAGCTCAACCCCGATAGAGACTGTTGGGCCAAGCCCTGCCAGGTGTGACCCCAAAACCACATACACAAAAGGAACATCAGCAGGGCTGAGGGCGCGGACAGAGACGAGGCTCAGAGACCGCTGTGGCGGTCAGTGGCCGGCCAGTGGCCTGGGTGACTGGCCACGCAGGGCCGGGCCCGCATTTGCTGCACCTCAGGACCTGGAGGACCAGGCCTGGTGCCCCGGCTCGGGGAGGCCACCCTGGGCTGGGAGAGCCAGGCACCAGAACCTTCCAGAACCACCTGAGCCCCCAGGCACTGACGGGGTCCCAGAAGCCTCCTGCCCTGGCTCCCCTGGACAGGTCACTCAGCAGAGGCCTCGCCTCTTCCAGGAAGCCCTCCAGACTTGAGGGCCTAATGTCTGTCCGCGAAGGGTGTGGCCTAGAGGGTTGGGTCCGCTGGGTTGCTTCAGCTGCCGCAGGCGACAAGCCCCCGACTGGGCTGGGCTGTGGGCAGCAGACGCGAGTCTGAGGGTCCCTGGCCGCTGACTGAAGGTCCCTGTCCAGGCAACCACGTGACCGGCACAAGCCCCTCCCAGCCCAGTCTCGGGTCTTGGTTTCTGGACAAGGAGAGGACGCGGGAGGCAGGCTCGGGGAGCACTCTCCACCACCATCCCCAGGCCCGGGTAGGGTCAGTGACAGAGGGGGCGGAGGGGGGGGGGAGAGAGAAGGAGGGAGAGAGAGGGAGGGAGAGAGAGGGAGAGAGAGAGGGAGGGAGAGAGGGAAGGAGAGAGAGGGAAGGAGAGAGGGAGGGAGAGAGAAAAAGAGAGAGAGAGGGAGGGAGGGAAGGAGAGAGAGGGAAAGAGAATGAGGGAGAGAGGGAGGGAGAGACTGAAGAAAGAGGGTTGAGAGAGGCGACAGGTGGGTCTCAGGGAGGGCCGTGGCCGCCACCCTCCAGACGCCCTGCGAGACCCCCTGAGCCCCCTATGGGCAGGACCCGGGGCGTCGTGATGGCCGCCTCCCCGCCAGCCACGCCCGTCTGCTCAGAGTCCCAGGGACAGCCGGGGCAGGGAGCCGGCCACAGTGCTCAGGGCCCACATTCCATTTCCCCCGGGAGCCTGGCTGGTGGGGGAAGGGCTGCCCAGCTCGGTCCTGCGGGGGGGCCCTGAGCACCCGCCTCCCCCTCCTCCTCCTCCCGGCTGGACGCGGGGTTGCCGGGAGCCTGGACGCTGACAGGCCGGGATTTTCTGCCCCAGTGGATGGGAACCCGGGAAACAGAGATTCCCAGGTTCCGTCTGGGCCCCACGCGCCCGCCCCTCAGCCCGCTCATCCCTAGGGGCTCTCGGACCCCCAGAGCCCACGCCGCTGACCACCGAGCGGTTCGGGTTTGGCTTTGGGGACGACACCTCAGTGGTACTCAGCAGCTACTCCCAAACTCAGTGCTCAGGGATCGCCGCCCAGCCATGCTGGGGCCAAGGGGCCTGCAGTGACCGGGGCCTGGGACCACCCACCCTCCCCGCCCCCCGCACCCCTCCCAGCTCCGAGCATTGGGTTTTGTGGTCTTGTCTCTGGTTCTGGTGTGGGGGCCACGCCCAGCGGCACTCAGGGGCGACTCTTGGCCCAGTGCTCGGGGCTACTCCTAGGGGCGGGCCTGAGGGGGCCCTGGGGGGGGGGGTCAGTATGGGCCTCGTGACACCAAGCCCGGCTGGGGGACCCTCTCAGACCCTGGGGATTGGGCTTGAGCGAAGCCTCCACGGGGTCTACCTCCAGCCCACCCCGTGGCCCTTGGCTCTGGGCCGTGGCTCGGGGCCAGCGGCTTGTTTTATGACTTTCTGACCCCCCTTCACACACCGGCCCCCCTCTCCGCACCCCTGCACCCACCTGCATCCCTGCAGCCCAGGGAGCCAGCAGGAGAGCGAGGGCTCCTGTACCATTAATCGTAATTAACTAATTATTCCCGCTGCCAAGTAGCGGAGGAGGAGGCTGGGGGTGGGGACGCCCCCGTGACTCAGTCGTGCTGTTTACAGCTCGGGCTTCAACCCATTTAAGAGCTTGTCAAGTTGCTATAAATGGCGCTTTGGCCACGGGGAGGAACGAGCCCGCCCGGCCCGGCCACGCGGAGGGAGGAGCAGCAGCGCCACCTAGAGGCCGTGTTGGGAATCTCTCCGCGGGGCCCCAAGGGGGGAAACTGAGGGCCTGGTGGGCTTTGGGGGGGGAGGGTGCCCCTGGGACGGCGTCCCTGGATGGCCCCCGGGCCCCCCGATGTTGGAGTCCCCCCCACTGGCCTTTCCCACCAAGAGCGCCCACACCGGTGATGCAGTCACAGGGGACACAGCCCCGGGTGGGGGCCCGGAGCCGGCGGGGCTGGGGTCCGGCCACTCACCCACGGTCATGCCGTCCTCGTAGCGCTTGATGACGTCGAAGGTCTCGCGCGGGTTCCCGCCGGTGATGTAGAAGATGACGTCGGCCTGGCTGGCGGGGCTCGGTGGCGTGAGCGTCCGCAGGAAGACGATTTCTGGGGGGCCAGGGAGAGCGGGCTGGAGCAGAGGGCAGCGGCCCCTGGCCAGCGGCCAGCCCTCAGCCCACGGGGGAAACTGAGGCAAGAAGCCCTGCGTGTTGTTGTTTTTCTCTTTCGGGCCCTGCCCCGAGGTCACGGCCCCGCCAGGCGGGCGGGTGTGGGAATCCACCTACCTCAGCCCCGGCCCCCCACCCTGGCCTCCCGCCGCCCCCTCAGCGCTGCCCCCTGGGGCGCCCGGCCCTGGTGCCAAGCCAGGTGCAGGCTGGCACTCCACCACCAGGCCAGAAGCACTCAGCCCCTCGGCCCCAGTGCCTACGGGACCCCCCAGGCTCCCCCCTTCTCCAGAAGTCTGCTGGCCTGACGGCCTCTTCACTCCCAACTCCCACGTCCACTAGATTCTCTCCCACTGACCACGCAGGCCACCATGTGGAGGACTCCTCCTCCAAGAAGCCCTTCCAGACTCCCCAGTGCTCGGCACAGAGCTTAAGACCCTTCAGACACTCCCCCCACGACCACTGTGAACTGAGAGTGGGAACAGGCTGGACGGACGGATGCAGGCAGGCGGGGAGAATAAAGCCCTGCACACACACACACACACACACCACACACACAGACACACACACCACACAGACAACACACCGCACACCCCATATGTACACACACCACACACAAACCGTACACACACCATACACACACGCCACACACACCATACACACATCATATACACACCACACCCACACCACACACACACCAGATACACACCACATACACCATACCCACACCACACACACACCAGACACACATCATACATACACCACACCCACACACCACACACACACACACACACACACACACACACACACACGCACCCCTGCCGCGCCCGACACTCACCTTCGGGCTGGGTGAACTCGCGGAAGGTGGGCAGGGAGACGACGGTGTGTGAGTAGGTGTGCACGGGGTCCCGCATGCAGGCCACGTCGTGGGGGCGGCAAGACTTGATGCAGCGCACGGCGTCCGTCCTCGCCTGGCGCAGCCTGGGCACAGCACAGAGGGGACAGGTCAGAGCCGGGTGCTCGGCAGGCCCCCCAGAGCCCGGCCCGCTCACTCTCCCTCGGGGGCCCGGGGAGCCCGGAGTCCTGGCGGTGCCCAGCCCAGAAGCTCAGCCGCCGCCCACGTGGGCGGGGCAGCTTGTTAGGGGTCTGTGTTCTGGACGCTGTGCCAGATTGATTGGGGGCCACACCCGGGGCCACTCGGGGCCCTGGGCGCCCTCTTGGCAGGGACCAAACTCGGGGTCTCGCCCACGCCAGGCCCACGCCCTGCCCGGCGTCAGCTCCCAGCCCGGGCCCCACAGTGCCAAGGCGTCATCAGCATAAAACAGCGCAAACGCAGAGCCACACGACAGAGGCCTGGAGAGTCGCCGGCCTGTTCTTCACAGTCACCACTGGGAGCCTCCCGGTCCAGACCAACCTCAACACCTGTCCGTGCCCTCCTCTACGCGCTGACCCCATCCCCCGCCCCGGCGTCTGCGCTTGGGGCGTTTCCCGCCTCCCGACTGTGTCCAGCTGCTCAGCAGTGGGGTCTGCCGCCACGAGCACTCAGCTCCCCAGGGTTGGAGAACCTCCCGCCTGACGCTACAGGGTTTTCTCTCACTCATTAGTTGGGAAACTCCCAGAAAAAAACTCCTTGCCTCCCTCCCCCCGCTTTTTTTTTAAATTGAATCACCGTGAGCTACAGTTACAAGCTTTCATGTTTGAGTTTCAGTCATACATGATCGACACCCATCCCTCCACCAGTGCCCATTCCCCACCACCAATGTCCCCGTATCCCCCCCCCCATTCCCCATCCTGCCCCTGCCTCCATGGCGAACAGTTTCCCCCATACTCTCTCTCTCTCTACTTCGGGGCATTATGGTTTGCAGTACAGACACTGAGAGGCCATCACGTTTGGTCCTTTGTCTCCTTGCAGCACCCATCTCCCATCCCGAGCGATCCCTCCAACCATCATTGACTCAGTGGTCCCTTTTCCATCCCGGCTGCCCTCTCCCCCAGCTCATGAGGCCGGATTGCCCCCATTTTCGATCTGGTTGCCCGAGGGTGTGGTAATTCGCTGACGACAGACAGCCCCGAGCCTGCTTCTCTCCTTGTCCGTCCAGACAATGACAAAGAGGATCAGCTGAGGTTTGGGGGCGTCTCCCGGGCCATGCTCGGGGACCCGAGGCCACACCTAGGGGAACCTGGGTTGAACACTTCAGGGCTCAGGCCCGGAGGGGATGAAACTCACCACGGAGGCAGCCAGGGGTGCTGGGCTGGAACTCAGGGCCCTGCGCTCCTCAGACCCACACCCAGTGCTCAAAACTAGCCCCTCGGCCCTCAGCGGAGTTCTCAAAATACCGGCGTCAAGTCAGGGACGGAGCGGCCTGCAGCTGCGTCTCACCTTCCTTGTTGGTATTCTTTGGCTTGGGGGCCGAGCTCAGGGACCTCTCCGGGCAGGTTGGGAGGGACCATATGGGGTCGGGGGATCAAACCTGGGTCAGCGGCATGCAAGCTCCCGGCTGTATCGCTCTGGCCCTGTGATGCACGAAAGCTCAAGTGTCCGGGCCGGTGCGATAGCACAGCGGGGGGGCATTTGACTTACACATGGCCGACTCGGGTTCGATCCCCAGCATCCCATAGGGTCCCCCAAGAACCGCCAGGAGTAATTTCTGAGCACAGAGCCAGGAGGAACCCCTGAGCATTGCTGGGTGTGACACACTCCCACCCCCCAAAAAGCAAAATAAATAAATAAAGCTCAGGGTCCCTATCTGGCTGGCTCCCAGCGCCTGGTTGGCCGCCTTGGGTCACCCTGTCCGTACAGACAGCACACAGCATCTTCCTTTTAGCTCTCTGACACCCCTAGGACTTTAGCTGTCAGTGAGGTCCCTGGGCCACGCCCTGAATGCCACGGAGACCCTCCAGGCTTCTCCGACAGCGCACAGTTCCAAAGGCACAGAACACAGCTCGCGGTCACAGGGAGGTGTTTCCAGTTCAAAGCACCCCTGCGTCATCTCCAGTGCAAAGCCCACGGAGTGCGGGTCCCATGCGTCCAGATCCCAGTCCTGGTTCTCGACAACCCAGGGACCGAGGCAGGGAGGGCGTTTGCCTTGCAAGAGGCCGACCCGGGTTTGATTCCCAGCCCCGCGTGTGACTGGCCGCCCTGAGCACCGCCAGGAGAGATTCCCGAGAGCAGAGCTGGGAGGAAGGTCTGCGCATCACTGGGCTTGACCCCAAACAAGCAAACAAACAAACAAACAAACAAAGAACAGAAAAGTTGAGGGAACCGCCCGTGATCACTCAGAATCTGACATCGGGTTCGAATCCTCAAACCGCATAAGCCACACGCAGAGTTCCGGACGGGAGAGATTCTCCTGGGCATCCTCCCCCGAGCGGCTTGCGAGGTGTGAGTAGTTGGTTTGGTCCTGGGGACCGCAGCTACCCCCAAACTGCCCGCAGTTTCCTCTCCAAGGAAAGTTTGAGCCTCCGTCTCGCGTGCCTGGCGGATCTCGCGGGAACACTGACTTGGTGGCAAGTTTATGGCCTTCCTTGGGCTCCAATAAACTCCTTAGCTTGCATTTCCTGAAGCAGCCTTGGTGGGATACTTTGTTTCCGTCCGGGCTACAGTATTGCTGGGGGAAAGTCTGAGGATAATATACTTCTTGGAGATAATCTGTTTCCTCCGACATCCAGTAATTCCGCCAAGCGTTGACTTGGTACTGGTTGGTTGCTGGTGGGTTTCTTCCTTTTTAATTTCTGGAAAGTTCCTCGGGTTACTATTTTTGGTGTTTATTATCTCCTACTTCCTGAGCTCTGGGTGTCGGATCTTCGTCCTTCCTCACTCTCCATCACTTTAAGACTTTGTAGTTGGGGCTGGGGCACAGCGGGGAGGGCGTTGGCCTTGCACGTGGCCAACCCGGGTTCGATTCCCAGCATCCCATAGGGTCCCCGGAGCACCGCCAGGAGTAACTCCTGAGGGCAGAGCCAGGAGGGACCCCTGTGCATCGGCAGGTGTGACACAAAAAGCAAAAAACAAAACAAAACAAAAAAACGAAAACAAAAAAAGACTGTAGTAAACACTTTATTTTTCACTTTGTATTTCTCGCTTTGTAATGTTTTCCTTCTTTGTTGAGGCTCATGGTCTGAAATATTTCTTTTTTTAAAAAATCACTTTTGGAGGGCTGGAGTGATAGCACAGCGGGTAGGGCGTTTGCCTTGCACACGGCTGACCCAGGTTCGATTCCCAGAATCCCATAGGGTCCCCTGAGCACTGCCAGAAGTAACCCCTGAGCATCACTGAGTGTGACGCAAAAAGAAAAAAAAAATCACTTTTTTTTTTTTTTTTTGCTTTGATTTTAAGTCTGTTCCTGGGTCCTGTTCCCTCCATGTCTGGGGTTTTTCTAATCCTCATTTGCGCAGTTCTTCCATTTTGGATCATTTTCTCCACACCTTTCCTGAGTTTTCCTGCGGACTCTCTCTGCTGTGCTCTGACTTCCTCATTCCCTGTGTGCCTGTCCTTGGCAGTGCTGGGCCCGCAGGGAAGATCAGACTTCCCGGGTGAGAACCAGGCATGATGTCGCGTGTCTTTCGTCTGTGCAGCTAGCTTTCCTCTCGTTTCCCTGGACCGACCCGTCCCGGCGTGGCCTGTGCCCGCACGGCTCTCCCCTTCCCTCCCCCTGCACAGACCTGAGCAGCTGAGATGGTGCGAGTCAGGCTCACTCCTATTCCGGGCCGGAATGCAGACACTGCGACATCCACCGCCGGCTCAGTTCACGTCACCCCACTCCGTCTTCAGCCTCTTGGCGTTTGTCTGTCTGTCTGTCTGTCTGTGGGGGGGTTAGTCTGGGGCCCCACCCCTCGGCGGTTGGGGGTAACTCCTGGCTCCGAGATTGGGTCCCTCCTGGTGGTTGTCAGGTTGAGTCCGGGGATGTCACTCCAGGTTCCGGCACTCAGGGACGCCTCGCTCCAGCTCACTGGGACCTCACGGCCCCTCGCTCCGGCCTTCCTGAGCAGATGCCGCGTCTGGATTTTCGGGCCAACGCTAGGGTGACCGTCCGGCCTGCAGCAGCGGACCCAGTATCCGCCTCTGCACGCACAGCTAGAGGTGGATCTGCCGAACCTGAGCTGCTGTGCGCCTTTGGGCAGGTGGGCTGACCTCTCTGTGCCCGTCTCTCTGTTGCCAGGCGGGGATCACCAAACGGTTCGAGAGCCGCGGAGGATTCCTGGGGCGAGTGTCTGGCCGTGGTCAGCAGCATGCAAGGACGGGCGTCTCTGGGTCATCATGCTGCCGTGATGACCGGCACGCCCACTCCCCTCAGCAGAGCCCCTCAGCCCAGCTCTCAGGCCCTTTGCCGCCTTTTCGATTGAGACAAGTGGATACTCAGCCCCTTCTCAGCAAGACAGCGACAGAACGAAGGAGCCGGTGGGGCGGCCACCAGCGGCTGCAGGCAGAGGAGGGGACCCCTCCTGCGCCCACCTGCTCGCTCGACACCCCCCTCCTCAAAGCCGTCCTCCACGGGGCAGCCACGGGAAGAGGAAGGAGCCCAGCGGTGAGAGAGCGCGAGCAGAGAGGAACGGACCCTCGGTGGGGAATCTCAGAAGCGCCACCGACGGCCTCGAAAGCCCCACCCAGGACCCCTTCTTCAATGCCCTTAAGGACTCGAAGAAAATGTGCTCCTTCTGGGCCCCAATATTCTGAGTCATAAGGAAAGAAGGATGAAACACTTACTGGTGCAACAGAGGTTATGTCTGGAGTCAGCGTTGAACACACTATCAGTCACCATCACCGCCATCATCCTCCCACCATCACAATCCACCCAGCCACCATCATCCTCCCACCACCACATCCACTCTCATCCACCGTCCATTCATCCCACCATCACCATCACCATCATCCATTCAACTACCATCATCCGTCCATCAACCACCCAAACTCCACCACCATCACCCAGCACTCACCCACCAGCACACACCCATCGCCCACCCATCTGTCCACCTGTCCATCC